CTTTTGGGATCTTACCCTCTATATTATCATCTATATTGCAAAGAATGACATAATTTATCTGATAACTAACTTCCATCTGGGATTGCTAAGAAAAAACACTTGGTTGCTGGATTTGCATACAACAAATTCATGGGAAATTCAATATTTTTGTACCATTGACCTGAAACAGGAAAAAGAATATAGATTTCTTACTATTGTTTTAAACGAAGTAGTTGATATATAGTAATTCACGACACTTTGTTTAATCTGCAGAATCAAAGGGAGAAAGGTAATAGAAAAAGTTACGTATAGAAGTAGAACAAACACAAAGAGGGCATTGATGTAGCCCTTGCAACCAAATGCAGCACCCAAAGGGAGAAAATTATATATGATTGACACAACATTTTTTGTTTATTTAGACACATGAATCATAACATACTTTACCATAAAAGTGTAAAAAAAAAAACAGGACTTTCCATTAGAGGAAAAACTGCAGGGAGGGGGGCATATAATCATATTGCTTCGGGTCATTTTCGTATGATTACAAGTGTACAACGATCAGATATACGACCCACCACCTCTCCATCACTTCTTACAGTTGACTATCATTGTTTTCACTTTCTTAGCAAGGTTTACATTTACAAACAGTCAACTGAGTTTGGGCTTCGAAGAGATCTCTCTACCTTTTTAAATATAAATTTTCCTAAGATTTTTTTATAATCATTTTTTTTAGTTAATTTTCCAGCTAATTAAAGTGCTGAGAATGCAAGGCTAGCTGCTGAATTGGCCAAGGCTTGAGACAAAAAGGAAAAGTTAATATATGAGAAACTTTCAAGAAAGGGGGAGGAAAAAAATAAGGGAGAAAATGCGTTGAAAGCAAGGGATATAGAGATTGAGAGAGAGAGAGAGATTAAAAGAGACATTGCATCTTATATTAAACTAATTAACAAATTGGTTAATAGCTTTGCTTGCAATAATCACAAGGCATTCTTGTTTGTCTCTATTTTTTTCTTTTTTAATTTTAAAGCTTGTTGCATTTATCATTTGATACCATCAACCTCTGTGCTGCTTGAAAGCTGTTTTCATGGGGGTTAGCTCAGCTCATTCATGCCTCCCCTCAAGCCTAAGGTACTACTCTCTCTCTGGAATGTTAATAACCTTGCTAATTACAAATTTTAAGTAGATGTTGCTATGTGTTGTCCAGAGGATGCTTACCCTTCAATCTGGAAGTCAATCTAATCTCTAATCACATCCGTTTAAAACATGGGAAAGCTTCATGCATTTGCTAATGATTAGTTTTGGTTTTAATCAAAGTTAATAAAGTGATATAGATCTAGAGATTGTGATTAGTGGAAGGTCTCAATCGTAGCTATAAAGTTTCTACTCAATGAACGAAAAGACAAACGACTTTACAAATATATATATTTATATATATTTTTTGCTACCTATTTTTCTACATTCTTCATAGTCTTCACATTTTTCACATTGATTGTATTGATATTGATATACAATCCTGATGTATGCTTCTAATTAAAGTAGGAAATTTTTTAATGTCATTGAAAAGTACTCAATTTCTGGTACTTAATAAAAAAATTCTAATTACGAAAAGTCATATAACATAAAAAAATTTATTTTTTCCATTATGACTCAATTCTTGTTATATGATACAAGTTATTTGTTTAAAGTATAATATTTTAAAAAATCTTTTAATAATTTAAAAAAGTTTAAAGAAATTTTTATTTTTTATTACATTTAATTAAATTTTTATATTTTTATTTTGAATTGATAAATTTTTATAATTAATAATTAATTAACTGTTATTAATTAAAATATTATTTGTTATTTATATCAAGTAAGATTTATGTGATATGTTGATGATATGATATAAAGCATGATCAAGTGATCATCATATAAATATAAAAGTATGAAAATTTAATTGAATATAGTAGAAAAATAAAATTTTTTTAATTATTTTAAAAAATTTATATCTTTATTTAATTTTTCTTTTATCATATTTTTTTTCTTAACTCTTTTATGTTTTACTAATAAGTACCAATGATTATTTCAATAAAAAAAGGATGAATAATATAAATTTATTTTGTCTTAATTGATGTCACTTCCCTTTTAATAGTTTAAACATAATCCTTTCAGAAAAACACTAGTTGAATCAGACTGGTTTCTTTAAGACAAAATTCAACGAGATAGAGTCCAAAACATTGAACATTCCATTATTTCAAACCCATTTTTTATATAAAACATTAATTTTGTTTTTTGATTATTTCTTTTCTGGGGGTAAAACTGTTGGGGTTTTGACATAAAATGTTACAATTTGATCTTGACAGGAATGGCAATAAAACAGATATGTGGATCTCTACTGTTCAAATTATGTTCATGAATGCATACACACCAAAATTAAGGTT